TGTGTGGTTGGTGTTTGTTCATTTCCGGTGGTCAACGCACTTGCAGAGATAATTATCAAGGGGTCAAGGGTATCTTCTGCCTCTCCCTGAGCTTGTTGCTAACATCCAAGGGTTGGGAGGGAAGATGAAAGGATCCCTGGTCAAGCTCTGTGCCTGCCCCTTGCTCATTTAGGAACTGCCTGCTTTACTCCTTCATGTGGTGGTCTGTGGCTGGCAGGGATTTCACAAGAGGCAACAGATGGACAAATATTTTTGTATTATTTTCCTGACTATATTTAATTTTATAGTGATAAAATTGCGTTTCATATTTCATCCCCATAGTTCCTTTCCCTTCCACTCAATGCAGGCAGAAAAGGTGTGAGCGTAGCTAATCTTGGTGTCCTGTTTTCCAGGTGGTGAGGTTGGCCCAGCGCCTTGTTTTGACACCGTTATATTGGTGGTTTCGGATGATGAAGCCGGCCCTTCGGTGAATGGCTGTTGCTACAATGGACCTGATCCATCTGTTCCTCTTCATGAGTCCTTTCCCATGTATGAGCTCAACATCACAGTGCATCCAGTTGACAACCAGCCACCTTCAGTTATAATAGGTGACCATGTTGTTCCTATGAGTATAATTGTCTTAGTGCCGTACCCAAGGCTCAGTGAAATAATTCTCTTAGATTAGAACACCACCAAATGCAATTGTCACCCAGGAATCATCTCAACAGAAATATATAATCCAAAATCAGTAATAAAAACAATCACAGGGCAAAAGAATTTACTTGCTTAAAAATTTATGTATTTCCATATATATATATATATAGAATACAACAGCATTTGTATCTTTGTGTTACGTGTTACAACAAGGATGTTGAGATCCTCAAGTATGCTGGTTTATTTCACATGGGAAAATAGCATTGCCAGCTGGAGAGAGAATAATTTATTTTATCCATAATAAATTTCTATTAGAACAGAATGCGTTTACCACAGAGACCATTTATATACATTTAACCTTACGTGTTTTCCAGAAAGTCATCTCTTCGTAGGCATTATGTATATGTCCTGTCTCACAGAAAAAATAAGCATATGTATGAACGCGCTTGTAATTTGCTA